GCCGTCACCATCACCAACACCATCACCACTGGCAGCCCGTTGGGGCCGCAGGTCATTCAGCTGCTTCTCAAGATATTCGATTCTGGTCTGTGCTTCCTCGGCAAGCACCAGGAGCTCGGTGGTCTCGGCCTTATACGCGTCCTTCTTCGCCCTCAGAGCGTTGAAATCTTGGAGCTGCTCCTTAAGGCTGGCAATTTCATCGTTGTACGTCCCGATCTGTACCTTCAAAGCAGCTGTATCCTGAAGTTGTTCTGAAAGTCTAGAAATTTCGGCCTTGTAGGACCTTGCCTGTTCGACTAGCGTGTCTATCTGGTCGACCAGCAGCTCGCGGTCACTGTTGAGCTTGTCTGACTCCTCAAGGTGCTCAGCCTTGAGCTTACTAATGGCCTCAGACTCTGAAATGGATACAATGGGAGCAGAGTTAGTGGCGACGGTTCTTGGCGCACCATCGTCACTTGTCGGCAAAGGCATCCCGGTCTCAACCATCGCTGTGGCAAAGAAATGGCTCTCGTCGTGGGCGCCCGTACCCTTGAGCTCGCGGTTATTCTCGAGCAGGTCCTCCAGAGAATCCTTCAGCGCGCTGTTAGCCTCCTTGAGCTGGGCAATCTCAGCAGCCAGCTCAAACTCGCGGGAAGTCACATCCTCGGACCGATTCTGTCGGTCCTCCAGCTGCTTGCGCATTTGCTCGCCCGACTCTCTCGCCCGCAGAGTCTCAGCGACCATCCCCGCCCGGTTGACGCGTGCGAGCTCAAACTGCCGCTCAAGCCTAGCCAGCTTGCTGCCCAAATACTTGTTTTCCTCTCTCGACCTCTGCAAGTCCATGTCTAGCGACTTCGCCTGATCGCGGTACTTCACCAACATTGCACTCTTCGTAAACATCTCCGCCTGCATGTGGCTGATGTCTGAGCTCAACTCGTCGATCTTATCTTCGTAGTTGTACATCGCTTGCTCCAGATCATCGCAAACATCCTCGTAGTCGGTCTCAAGTTGACGCAGTTTGCTAGCCATTACGCCTGCGTCCTTCCGGGCATCATTCGCATCTTGGCGAGAGACTCCAAGGGCGTCCTCCAGCCGCACAATAGCGTACAATAGCCGATCGCGCTCCTCGGCCTCGTCCGCCTGCCCACCCTGATTGTTGCTCTCGGCAAAACCAATGCGCTTGCGCCACTGCTCGATGTTAGACAGCAGGTGGAATTTGTCCTCGGTCAGCAGCTGCCGCTCTGCCTCCCATTCAGCACGGTCGTTCTCGGCCTGCTCAACCTGGCGCTGGCACAGGTCGCGTTTGTTCTCGGACTCGAGTAGTTGCACCCGCAGCTCATACATCTCCTGCTGCATCTGGCGCCACGCTTGCTCGCTCTCGACCACGTCGGCCTGTACGGCCGAGGCATCGTGCTTTAGCATGCTGGCAAACCCATCTAGCTGCTGCTGGATGTCGGTCATACTGACCACTGATGCTTCAGCCATCGACGCGTCCCCGTTTATGCTGACGTTTCCTGGGCTGTTGTAGCCCATCCGACGAAAACCCTGTCTGCTGCGGCTGTTGGGCGTGAGCACCTGCGACTGGAAGGAAGCCGAGTCCAAGCTGACACGGCGCTGGCGGGTGGGCGTCGACCTGATAGCCTTCAACGCCAGGTGACGTGCGAGCGGATTGACGCTGCGCAGAGGTGTGTTTGAGACCTTTCTAGAAGACCGCGGCTGACGCCTGGGTGTGGCGGAGTTAAAAGAAGCTCGGCTCAACCCGCTCGCTCGGACAGATGTCGGCGTGGTGGCAAGGTTCGAGAACACCTGCGACCGCATGGGTTCAGTCCTGACAGGAGACGTCGATGACGTAGACATTCTCGACGAGGCATGGCTGGACACCGTGGCATTGTTATTCAGCCTCTGCTGCACATTGCTGGGAAACGGTTTTTTAGGCGGATCCTCGTTGCCGCTGCCGCTGTCCTCGCTTCCACCAGACGCCATCAAGTCATCGTCATGATCGTTGTCCGCTAAAGCCTGTGTCCCCGGGTTGGGAGAAAGTGGTGACATATTGGACCGTGTCCAGCCGACCATTCTTTTCAAAAAGCCACCGCCGCCCATGCCAACGCCGCCCACCCCTGCTATGCCGTCCATGCTCAGCCTGGTTGCATTTAGCGGCAAGTGGATCATGGGGGAGATGCTGCGCTGGAGCTGGCTGGGAATCAGCTCTGTAGCATCCTCGCCTCTGCCAGCATGCGAATCGTCCCATGGCGGCCGCGCCTGGGCGAGCGGGGGGTGCTGTTCGCGGAAGACTATAGACTCTTGCGTGGCGTCGCTCTGCTCGGCGTAATTAGTAGAATACGATGCTGCTGCTCCCCCAGCCGTGTATGGTGGTGCAAATGACACATTTCGTGGCGTGCTCTCATAAGGCGTGTTTCCGGCTGGCCTGCGCTCCTCCATCTCCCGTGCTGGCATCGAAAATATTGAGGGCGCCTTTCCAGTCGCACCATGAGACACTGCGTCGTTCTCGGACTCGTTGAACGATGACATATCAAAGGTGGCATCACCCGCAGCGGCTGCATTGTGCTGCTGCTGCTTTTGCTGGCTGCCGACTGCAGACCATTTATTCGAAAAAACGATATCGCCCTTCAAGCTATATAAAAACATTCATTGTTTTTTGTTAGTCACAGTGCCATTGAGACTCGTTTATATAAAAAGAACGTGCGACGCGTAGCAATGCTTGATTCAAAAATGCTTCTTACCTTTCTGCAAAGTCAGCTGAAGACGCGGTTTTGGCGTACATGCCGCTCTTTTGGCCAAAGTGTGACTGAACGCTCATTGAAAAGTTTGACATATCTGGCTCCTCCATATTGTACTCCGCCGGGAACCTCCCAGCATTCGGTGTGTCAGCAGTCAACGAGGAATTGCTGTCCGAGGCCCCACGGCGCTCAGCTATTGGCAGGGTATCGTTGCGGGCTGTGTTTGGCGTAAGTATGTTCACATTAGCGGCACCACCCGCCTGCCGCCGGTTGGGGGCTGCATCCAGCTGGCTGTCGTTATCAATGACTCCGTCGTGAAGGTCCGGGTTAGAAACGACGCTGTCATATTCGAAATCGTCGTTAGAGTCATTCATATTGGGGAATTAAATAATATATATGAATTGGTGCTTTTTTTACACCTTTATAAATAATAAAACGAATAAAGTGTTTGTTTAAACACAACAACGACCCCTCTGATGAGACACGCTTTGTGTGTAGTGCGTAGGGTAGGGTTTTTAAGTTTGTTTGAGTTTGGGTTTGGGTTTGTTCTTGATAATTGAAAAATAATAATAAAAAATCAATAATATACGACGAAACACGAAACACGAAACACGAAACGGAAAAAAACGATACAATTTTATTTCGTTTTTTTTTGTTGCTTGCAAAAACGAAAAAAAAAAAATCAAGCTTTTGCCCGATTGGTATAGGAAAAGCTCCACGCTTGGTCAAAATTAAATTCACTGTTGAAAATCGATTTTGGAATTTCCAGACATTTATAGCGAAGGTCCAGATTTTTTAAGCAGGGGGTTTTCACAAACCGTTTTTTTTCAATTTTTAGCCTAAAATATCAGAAAGTCCCGATTTTTTAAAATGCAGAGAAGTATTTAGGGTTTGCGTTTGACTGGTGCTTTGTTTATAGGTTAAGCGTGACGCTTAGCGATGTAATAATATTTTTGGAAATCATTTGCATTTATTGAATTAAATAAAAATTATATAAAATGCTAAATAAAATTATATAAAATGCATGCTGTGGATCTGCTACGTGCACTGGCACCAGCACCAGCACCCATAGCAGAACCAGGCTTGCTATTGGTGCACGTACCAGAAACAGTTCTGCTGTGGCAATCTTGGTGTAGATCTCAGGTTGAAATGGCAGCGGCAAGCTGAAAGACGGGCGCAAGGCAACGTGTGTGACTAAATAACAGCGGTGAGCGCAAGGTAATATGCAAAACGGGGAATAATGGTGAGCGCAAGGCAAAATGAGAGACGGAGTAACAGCAGCGAGTGCAATTTAATAGACTAGCCAATGCGTTGAAGTGAATAAAATTTTGTCAAACACACACATATTCTATACGCCAAACTTTGCGTATTGTTGAGACAGTTTATATATGTATTTATGTATATATACACAAACAAAATAATATTGTACCTTGCGCTTGTACACTTGTTATGTTGAGAAACACTCGAAAATACACTACTATTTGCGTCCATTGAGCGAGTAAAAGTATAAAAGTAAAAATATATTTTTATAGAGTTTTGTATAGAGTGCAATTTATCGTAAATGAAACAGAGGGGAAAAGAAAAATGTAGAGAATTATTTTATTTTTATTTTTGCGGCATTATCAAAGACGTTATGCTTGCTATGCTATGTATATTTGATTTTCTACGGCATCAAGTATGTACTTTAATAATAATAATGTTTGCAGCATCTTTGACCAACACAGACGATGATAACGACAAAAATTACAACAAAAAATTTACAATTACAAGATGCACAGCACCAGCACCAGCAACAGCAATAGTGACACACTTGCAAATGGTGTATCCCGTAGTAAGAAAGCTTCTCCCGAATACATTGGTACTTTGCCAAAAAATGACAGTCATGGTATTGTTGGTAAATCGCTGCTTTGTGATCCAGGTTGCAGGGATATGTTATATTGTCTGGGATATAAAAGCAGCTACAAAAGGGGTGAGAAAGTTATATTCAGCTATACCAGGAATTCAGAGGCTAATAAATGACGTGAACGCGTGTTTCGACGGATCCACAAAAATGCAAAAAAGGTACTCCAGCTTGACCCCGCAAAGCTCGCCAAAGCGAAAACAAATGGTCGGTATACGTCTGTTGAGGATGTCGAGCGCGCGCTCAACCACCTTGGCTTCAGTAAACTTGATTGCAAGTTGTATGTCGAGTACCCCCTTGAGCACTGGAAAGGGGATTTTGTTTTGGGAGAACATTACCACAACACACAGACCCTCGGCAAGAGTCGAAAGTATGACGACAGATCAACTGACCCTTTGCACCGCAAGCTCTGCTATCTTTCCTTTGTTAACAGAAAGCGCGCCGACGTCGAACTCGCAAAATCTTTGCGTCCAAAATTTGGGTCAGATCCAGTTCCTATTCTTGGTAATTGGACCCCAGGCATGGCCCGTTACCATGGGCTAATTCGTGGCAAGGGGGTGTGGGAGATGCTAATAGGTCAGGGATTCACTGTTTATTTGGTCTACGAGTACTGTATTTCAACGTTTTTCCCAGCGTGTTGGAGCAGGATGAAGAAATTTCACAAAATTGATAGTCCTTGTCTGAAAAATCCCAAGCACAAGCACCATGTCGCAATGGCACTAGCAGCAGCATCTAACTTCATCGCAGCCGCAACAAACACTGCTGCTAATACCGTCGCAGCAGCAGCCACCGCCGTTCCTGCTGCAACCACAATTGCCACCAATGCCACATATATTATAGAAAGTGCACAACAGAGTTGCAACCAGTGGGTGCCTATTTTCCCAGTCTGCCAATATCATCCGGTGGGTAGGGGAGGAAAAGGGCTGGTCTAAGAGCAAAATGTCCTGCATAATTAAGCAGCAGTTGAGGGATCAGCTGGCTGAGC